CAATTCACTAGCGAAAGTTGGCAATGATGGTGACGAGATTCTACAAGTAGCCTGATGTCATACGAGGTATGAATTGTAGTAACTTGTTCTTTGAATTTATGTTTCCAGAAGTCCTTGTATTAACAAGTTATATACTTGTGCTTGGATTTAAATTTAATATGAAGTTTCTCCTTTCACCCTTGCCTCTAGCACAGTATCCCGCCGTCTCCACTGCAAGAATCTATTCCCTCCATTCCCATTCGGCAATAGTAGTATATATATAAGAAGAATCAAACGGTAGCAGCCGATGAACAGAATGAAGGTCATCGATCATGCCTTCTTTCTTCCCAATACTGCTCTCTCCGATGATGATGTTGTTGTTGGCAATGATGATCACTATCTTGAAAGGCGATTTCGATGGCGACTACGAGTACGGCTGGTGCAGCAAGAACAGATTCGAGTACTCGTCTAAGAAGGTAGTCGAGAAAGATACGGTCGTGAACAAGGCGATGTTTGGCGCCTGCGACGCCGTCGACGGCGCCGAGAAGCAGCACTGCGAGCACTCGTCCCCCGACACCGACAGCGGCTCCTTTTATTGTGCGTATGCTTCTTGCACTTCCTCGCTGGCCGGCGACGACTGCCGGTTTTGTCTGGAAACTGCCGACTCTTCGCTGTGGTATAAGTACTGCAAGGATCGAGACGGCGGACAGTTGGCTCTCAAGGACTGTTACCTGAGGTACGAGACCTACACATTCTGTAGTTAGCTACCTAAGAGAAAAAAAAAAAAAAACCCCAGAAATAAAGCAGGGGTGGGATTTTCGTAGCACTCGTTACCACTCTGGTATCATCTGGTGTCGCTCTATATCATTTTTCGTTTTCACTCAAATTGAAGAAGAAGAAAAAATTATAGAAAGAACAAGTTCGCCTTGATATATTAGATTTATAAATTTATTGAAAAAAAACATTTTCGGACAAAATATATCACCTTTTACCACCATGATATATGGTGATAGCTAGTGATACAAAGTCGTAATAAATGACGGTTAATACAATAAATTTACACCATGGTATTATCCATACCGTGATGATATAATCTTGGTTTAGCTTGATGAATTGGTGATTTGTGTATGTATATGGTCACCTATATATATATATATATATATATATATATATATATATATATATATATATATATATATATATATATTAGTTAGTTAGGTACGTGCTTTGCTTTAATTGGCCTTTTTTTTGCCATAGATAGTTTGTAATAGATAGGGCATTACAGTACGTTGAAAATGAAAAAGCGGTAGTCAGGGCATTAACACCCGGGTCTACTTATATTTTCGGTCCAGTTTGAGAATGGGCTTGCGTCCATGGACTTTCAGAGACATCAGGCCTTTTGCGACCAACTAACTTTCTATTGGAACGGCCCCAAAGCTTAACCAGCCTTTTTTTTTTCTTGGACGAAAATAACGAATATCTTGGTTTTAACTTTTAAGATGTCAATATTCTGGATTTATTGATATTGTATCGATTTTCACTCCTATTGCTAGGTGAGCACTCCCTGACCGACCTTTACGAAATCCCCAAACTGTCCCACGGGCTTTTAATAGAAATGATTGGGAGAGTGAGGTGGGTTTTTTTTTTACATTAAGTTATTCTACTGCACGTAGGGAACAAGTTATTTTTTACATTAAGTTCTCTCAAATTTTAAAATGTTTTGTACAGAAGGAACAAGTTTTTCATGAACTAATCAATCTATAAATTTCTGTGGCAATATTAATAATTTTGAACCTGGAGGTCCCATGTTCTAATCCCTTCAATAGTACCTAATAACAAAAAAAAGTAACCTATATCACCCCACAAATTTCTGTGGAAACAATTTCTGTGGAAACAAATGTCATATTTGATAATGTGATAGAAGACCGTTACCGGAAACCAATACAATTCCCATGTCGCGGCTGGTCTACCGATTATTCAAACTATGAAGAACGTAACAACTGGTTGGTCCTAGTAATTCGAATTATTGGGACCAACTAGTTCTTGACGTACACGGTACACAACCATAACAATCGATCAATGGATCCATTCGTAACTCTGATCTGGAAAATCTTGCTGAGAAATCACGGCGAGCAGAACTTGTAGTTCTCATACCTAATACAACAACTCCCCTCGGGCTTCGTGTACTGAGCTCCATGCTTGTAGATGCAGTTCTCTGCTATGACCCCAGCAGCTTCCTCCAAGCACTTGCAGCACTCGGAGTACTTTTCCGGTCCGCAATACGAGTACGAGTAGAGGAGAATCGGCGGGTTGCCGTAATAGTCGAACTTGCAGATTCCTGGGTTGTTTTTGGCTGCCGCCAGTACGTCCTGCTGCTGATCATCCTTGATCTCGGGGCCCGTTGTGCAGATCGAACCCGTGGTCGGAAGCGGGCACAGAGCTGGTAGTCTGTGACTTATAGCGACGAACGTGATCGTTGTTGTGATCAGTATTAGTGACGAGAGTGTTTTTTTTTTAAGCAAGTAGCTCTAGTGCTATATATATAGGCTTTGATGGCAATGGAACTATCCAGCACTAATTTAGGGATGGCAATCAAACCCATGACAGCGGGTACCCGATTGCTCCCGACCCAGTCAACGCGGGGAGTCCCCACTTTGTTATCTATTCCTTCAGAGGGCTTCTCTATCTGTCTGTGTTTTTTTTTTTTTTAAGCAAGTAGCTCTAGTGCTATATATATAGGCTTTGATGGCAATTGGAACTATCCAGCACTAATTTAGGGATGGCAATCAAACCCATGACAGCGGGTACCCGATTGCTCCCGACCCAGTCAACGCGGGGAGTCCCCACTTTGACCGGGTATGGGGCAGGTATGGGTAAAACCCGCAAAAAGTTTGATGGGTATGGGGCGGGTATGGTTTTAGCCTCCCCGCCCCATACCCATACCCGCCCCACCAAGAGAATTTCTTCACATATCAAAAAATATGTGAATTAAATTGTAATCTATCAATAATGATGATGATAACTCGAGAAAATAAATAGTAGAAATGCAATTGAGTAACCACCTTAATGAAAACCTAATTCATTTCCCTCAATTCTCCTTCCAATTTTTCACTTTCCCCCTACAACAAGATTATGTTAGTTAATTATTACTTAGTAAATGTATGAAGAGTTAGAGCATAATAATTTAAAAAATATTATAGTCTATATTATGTATTAATGGATGTTTTAGGATCATATTTAGAAAATGACCGTGTTTTGTTGACTTCATGATATAATAGGTTTGTTTATGGTTATAACTAAAACTTTTCTTGTAAGTTTTTGGTATAATAATGTTGGATGTACCCGAAACCCACGGGTATGGGGATGGGTTTGCAAAACATTCCCCCACATGGGTATGGGGCGGGTATGGGTTTGGGTATTTGAAGATGGGGATGGGGATGGGGATGGTTTAGGCAAACCCGCCCCATTGCCATCCCTAAGCACTATTTAATCCAGTCAAATTGGGTAAAATTAAATTAAGTAATGATGAGTTTTGAGTCGTGTGCGAGTTTTACTCCCTTTTTAATTTGGTGGCTTGGGGTTGAGTTTTGTCAAAATCCAACCTGTTTTTGCACAGAAAGCCAAAACGACGTCTTTTTGTGTCTGGCGCTAATATGAATATTTTGTCAATGTTATCAGTCTTTAATTATGACAACATGGTTCTTATTTGGTGAATTTTATTAGTCTTTATGTAACTATATTTGTAGGAAAAAATTTCGTAATTTTACAAAGTGACTGTTCGGAGAAATAATGCACCCCAGCTAGGTACCTTTTGAGTTCGGTTTAGTTTTCTCACAAAAAATACAGCAGATAGTTTACCGATTTTCTTTAGTGACCCATTACTCAACCCGACCCATTACCATTTTATCCTACCTATGAAACTATACTTGCGTGCCTTGAAAACACGTCCATAAATATGATTAGTGACGAGACTTCGTAAGAATAAAGAGAATCGACCAAAGAGGTAGCCGTTGCAGGGTACTATATTACTTAAGAAACAAAACTAAACCAGACAGAAAAGGACTGCAGAAAAGAATCAAATAGTGCACGAACGAGTAGTCGTACGTCTATAGAACTCCACTAAGAGTTCTTGTAAAAGTAAGCAAAGAAATCAAACAATGAGCCGCTGCAGATGCTGCATCAATTACCTACAAAACAAAACTGCCATCGACAAACCTAAGAATTCTTTTTGTAATTTATTACGTGTATCAAAATCCAAGAATCGTCAAATGGTCGATTAATAATTAGGCTCTCAACCAAACTGCATGTATGAAGGGGAAAAAAAACATTGATGGGTCCTGGTTGTGTAGCGATATGGTCGATACAAGATCGCGCCAGAAACGATGTTTATTGGAAATCAGGATACATCGTCCAAATACTAAAGAATGATCTGTTAGATCTCACAACGACTATCCTAATTCTGCCACTATTCATAGGTGGCAGAAAAAATAATCTAATGTAGCGAAACGCGCGGTGACTGAATGTCCTGTACTTTAAAGTTAGAATGATTTTACAAAAAATGTATAGCTTGGACTACTTAGGAAACTACATGCATGGAAGAAGAAAAAAAATCCAATAAATTGTGACTAAATAACCTCATCTCGAAATTAAAAACAAAAATTAAACCAACCTGGATCAAATCAATAGCCGCTGCATGTTCTCTGTCCCTTGCAAAACAAAACTAAACAAGACAAAAATAAGTACTAGACTACAAAACGAGCAATACTCCAACTAGTTATCAAGACAAAAGTAGTATTAGCAACGAAACAACATTATTGTGACACTAAACAAAGCTACAAAGATTTGCTTTTGATTATCAGTTTCGTCCCTAGCTATCACATTTGACTCACATGCCCTTACAAAATATGATATTTCCAAACCGGTCCTCCCACCCTACCAATATAAATAGATCTGACTTACAATCCAACAAGCCATCCTCAACATCAACTCAAACAGCCCATCAAAACACAATGGAGAAAAACATGGCAATGTCAACTTCATGCATCCTCATTCTCGCTGTGCTGCTCATCTTTAGCGACGGGTTCCACGGAGCCGTCGCTAAAACCGAACCGCTCGATTTCAACAAGCACAGGGTCGACGGGAACTGCGGCGAGATTGTCGACGCCAGCCCCGAAATGAGAGTTGAGGCATTGAGATCCTTAGATCTTGCGATCGACGTCGCGACCAAAGACAAGAAACCCAACACATGCGCAATGGCAACGGGTTCTTCGATCTTCGCAGCTGCGAATTGCTCGAAGGCGCTCAGTAAAGATAAGAGGATGGACGATTGCAGACATTGCCTCTTCAATGCTCAGTTCCGTGCGGTGGACAAGGAGTGCCCGCAGAAATTCGGGGGTTGGATCAAGCTCGTCGACTGTTACGTGAGGTACGACACCTACAAATTTTGCGAGTGATGAAGCGCGCGAGCTAGCTCGACTCGTGGGAAGATAATGTTGCGCAGTTTGGTCATATTGAAGAAAGGGAAAGCTACTTTACTTATATATATGTAAGAAAACGATGATGTTATAAACCATCATGAAATAAGCTAATAAATTAAAGTTCCTTTTTCTTTCATGCATTTCAATGAAGACTGATCATGGAGGTTCTTAAATCGATCTCCTCATTTTGTTACTTTCAGAACTAAATCCATAGAAGAAGGAATTGACTGCTTTTGTCCTTTTTCAAGTTCAAAAAGCAATGCCCACAAACGGGAAATGTATCCACTTAACATCCAAAAAAATAAGGGGAAATATGAGTTTACCAGGAAATACCAATGACATAATTGGAATTATAATAATTAAAAGAAAACCCAACATGACTTATTTCAGCATAACTTTCTTCTCCCAATTATTTCAATTATCACAAAACCGAGTTCATTCAATTAATTACTGGGTCTCAAACTATATCACATTCGAATACTACATCCAAACAACACATAAATTTCTATGGCTTATTATATATGGTTTGTTAAAATTCAAATTTAAAACTCTTTTACAAAAGGAAATCATATTATTTATACCAAGGTAAACTAAATTGTGATTCATCCATTTTTTTTCTCGTAGAAACATGAAATTTACACCTGGTGGTAAATGGCAGTATACATTCTTGGCCTAACTAACTCAGAATGAATTAATTGGGTCAGAATGAATTAATTGGGTCAGAATAAATTATAATAATACAACGCACTCTCAAACAACTCATATGTTCTGAATATTGATTATATTTCATTTGTTATAACTTAATTAGATTTCAAAATCTTTTACAAAAAACAAATTCTGACTGATTAGTTATAAATAATGATACATCAAATTATGATATGAGTAATGTTCACTTGGCTTTAAATTGTATACAGTCCCTTCGGGGACATCCGATAAAATTGGAACGATATAGAAATTGTGGTATATACATGGATATTGTTGGTGGATCACAACGAATCCGTTCTCCTTTGCAAAAAATTTGTAAAATCCAAACCAAAATGAAAAAGATACAAGTTGATTAATAACATTATTAGGAGATGCATCAATGTATTATTGGCGCATGTATGCTGAAATTTAAAATTAGACATGGTTAAATTAGTGCCTTGAAAGTACTTGTCCTAAAGGTCATCACCAGGTTTAAGTAAAGAAATGAAAACGAAGAGGCAAAAAAACAACTAAACTAGACAAAACTAACCGTCGGAAAAGAATCGGTTATAGGGCATGAGCCGTACGCCTGCAGAGCTCCCCCAAATCCAAGAATTCTGGTAACGTTAATTAATTATATTACGTTATCACTAATCAACTATACGTGACTGATGTACAAATCAAGAGTGTACTATTTTTCACACATCCAAGAATTCTCTCCTCGGTTGTAATGGCTGATATTTGTACGTAAACCAACTGGTTCCAATAGTTGGAGCTGTGACAACAGTATAAACTAGTGTGACTACCTTGATAACAACCACGTAAATCTATGTATCGCTTATTATTATTATTATTGATTGCCTTATTACAACAAAATTGTTAGGAAATGTTTAATCATCATGAATGCATGTCTGCAATAAATAGAGATAGATATGAATATTGAGATAATCGTCCCACCTCGCGCTGGTCATCACTACACCTTAGATCTGTGACTATTGATTCTTGAATTTGCTCCAAGGGACTGATTCAGGACATGAATGGGGGGACTAATCTGGTTGGGCTGGTTTTGAGTCAAATTAGTCTTTACATGTCGAGCCTGAGACGGACGAGCTCAATGACTGTTGGCCACTTGGCCTTGAACTTCTGGACCTGTTTCTGTTTGTGCCCATCACGTTTGATTTTGGTTTGAATTTAATTCGGCTGGGCTTGGGCTTCGATGAGTTCGATCCAAATAACAAATTGGTTTCTTTTTTCTTTCGTCGTTGCGCTGTCTTTTTCCATTGGCTTATTATGTAGGTCTTTAGCCCCTCGATCCCTCTTGTGATCGATAAAAAGAAAAACGTGGGATATTATTGTTTTTATCATGGATATAAAGGTGTGGGATTTACTACTTGAAGTCAAAAATTACATTACTGTCATTTTCTATATGTTTGACATGTTTATGATATGTACACAAAACAAGGACAAAACTTCAAAATTACCTTACTATCATTTTCTATATGTTTGACATGTTTATGATATGTACACAAAACAATGACAATACATACTAATAAGCATACATAATGTTGCCACATGGACAATAGTAATAAACGAGAAAATTCCGTTTTAACTTTTAACGTAACATAATCAATTACCAATTCTTTGTCCTCCTTTTCAAACGTGACATATAACAACATATATTAGAATCGCGAGAACAAAGAATTATACGTTCCATGAAAAGGTCAAAGAAAACTAGAAAACAAGAAATTATATAAAAAAAATCTAACTCATGTTTGCACATTAATTGAACGTTTATATTATTCACTTATTGTTAATTATACTGTATAATAGTTAAATTTGAGGGCAACCTTGGAATATTAAAAGTGCATGAGGGTATATGGGTAAAATCTCATCACGGAGTTATGCCATATTCCAAATCCCACATCAACATGTGGGATTTATAAGTCCGTGGGGTCCACGGATTTGGACTCTTAAAATCCATGGGCCCCACGGATTTGGTCTTCAAAAAATGTGCAAGCAAACAACTGAATTGTACCTAAATCCTTGATAGTTGGTTTTTTGGTACCAAATCCTTGAAGCGAACGACTCCTAAGAATCCATGTTTAATTTATCATATCATTCCCACGTGTTCATACCCACAAGATATCCAATTAGTTAAAACTATGCATCAGAAACATACCGATACCGCCAGACATTAACCACAACCAGAGAAAACAAATGGGATCATAATGGACAGTACTGAAACATGTGTTAATAATTTGTTTGTGCTATTATTATACATTCCCATAATCGTCCGTATCATGTAATTAAGACACCCTTCAAAAGGGTAATAAAAATACACACAACCCTAAAAAATTCATAATCCACTCAAAATCAACCATTATGAAGACCAATCCCCACCACACCAAATCTTTCTCCCTCGTCGTCCTCATCGCATCGCTCATCTTTAGCGACGGTATTTACATAGTCGTCGCGAAAGGCTACAACATAGACAAGATCGGCTCCGGCTGCGGCAAGCAGCGCGACCCCAGCAACGAGATGAGGTTGCAGGCGCTGCACTCCATCGACTCCGCCATCCTCGCCGTCGTCTCCGGGTCCCCCAACGCCTGCGGGAAGGCGCCGGACTCGACGATCTACGCCGCCGCGAACTGCGCCCGCGCGCTCTCCGACGAGGAGTGCAAGCTCTGCCTCTACAACGCCCAGTTCCGGGTCGTCGACGTTGACTGCAAGCACTTGTTCGGCGGCTGGCTCGTGCTCAAAGATTGCTACGTCAGGTACGACACCGATACTGCATTCTGCCGTCAGTGATCCGTCGTCGTATTGTTGCAATACGCATCACATATGTGAGGGAAAGATCATTCAAAGTTTCGGTTGGGTTGGATTGATTTCCGGTTAAGGGAGTGGTATGATATTTTGTATTTTGGGTTTTCGGATTATCGATGAAATTGTTTTGAATGTGGATTTAAATTCTTTATTGAGCAGAGAAGTCACGTACTCGAATCTTTATGATTACTGATATCGATAGTTGATTTGATAAAAGTATGAAATTTGACAAAAGTATATTGGTGAATTTAGATATGTGCTATACATTAGGTTATAATGTAATTAAGATTAGTACTGTTGGAGTATCGTCCAACGACTCGAAGATTTATTATAATGAGCTAGTTCTCAATTAGTGATGGCAAACGAGTGGAACGGGCTAGGTGTGTCAGTACTCATGCATATTCGTCTTATTTCGTTCGACCTGATTCTCGAATGAATTGACTAATGTCCACCCTTAATGATACATTTGCTATGTTAGATGAATTTCGACGAATCAAAATCATGGATAATTATCGTACGGTTTAAGATTTAATAAAAGGATTATGGTCATTGAATTTATTTTCAGTTCTTATGGTATAGTTCTACACCCCCATATATAATTGGGTGAGCTAATTAAGTAGCGGTCATTACGATGAAATATAGCTCGACGGCATCACCATGGATCAACCTGAAACAAACTCAACCGGTCCAAAACTTTTACTGGATCGACCGACAAAGCAGCTTATTAGCTAGCGAAATGTTGGATGACTCAACTTTGCTTCATGGATCATTCTTTTTCCTCTTGTTTTTACTTGAATTTTAAAGAACATAGCAAGATGCTTAATTATGACAGGAACTAGCTAGCTAGTCGTTCATATCAATATATCCCCTTAAATGTAGTTCCATAAAATCAAAGCATAGCCCAGGAAATGAAACCAAACCCCCAGAATTACACACAGACGAATTACCAATATCACCATGCCTTCATCTCTCTCACCAGTACTCCTCTTCTCCCTCCTCGCCATCGTCATCGCCGTCGCCGCCACAACCGTCGCTAAAGCCGAGCCCGACCTAGGTTACATCTCGTCCCTCTGCGGCCGGCGACATGACCCCCACCCTCCCCGACTGAAGAGGCGTGCCATCCAAGCCACCGTCTCGGCGATCACAAACACGGTCCCAAGCGCCGTCGGCTTCTGCGACTCCATAAGGCAGAAACCGGCCATGCACGTTTTCGCGTCGTGCCCCTTCCACGTTGCTCAGGAAGACTGCACCAAGTGCCTCGAGTACGCGCAAGATCAGTTGATCAACTACTTGTGTAAAAGTCTCTACGGGGCGCAGATCGTTCTCAACGGTTGTATCTTGAGGTACGAGACCTACAAGTTCTGCTGAAGCAGCGTGCGTCGTCGTCGGAAACGAGTATTATTGGTAATCTGGAAGGATAAAATTTCATCGCTCTCTTTGAGTTCGAATATGAGAGTTGTGGTTGTGGTTGTGGAAGAATGGCGTAAAGTTTCCTAAGCGAAAGTGTTACTCTTTTTTTTTTTTTTTTAGTTTTCGTGAAGAATAATAATAGTTGCATGTTATATATGTAACGAATGATGTTTGGTTTGGCAATGATGTGCATGTATTCAACAGTATGGGGAGCGGATCAGGTCAGTAACTCTATGATCAGTAACCATGAGTAACCTGTCCACATCAGCATGACATCAGTAGCTTCTCTCTGCTATAAAGTCTTTTATCTTTTCCCTTCAATCTTTAACGGACGATTTCTCTCTCGTTTTAAGTGGAAATTTAATTTTTTTGCACAGTTAAATCAGATTTAATATGCTCTTCAAAATGATATCCACTTTGATATATTTTTAGTACAAAAAAAAAATCGAATAATTTTTTACCAGTCACTACCATATGGTATGCTCCAATTTAGTACCATATGGTAAGAAAGCATACCATGATGGTATGAACATACCAATATGTTAAGAAGGTTGAACACTTGATAGTAGGAGTATATTAACTGTCATTTACGACTTTCATCATTGTTTGCCACAAGTTACCAATCACATACCATAGTGGTAAAGTATGGTAATTTTTTATCCAGTATTTTTTTTTTCACCCAAAAATTTATAGATCCAATAGATCATGATGAACTCGTTCCTTCTGAGCAAACGTTTTCAAAAACGACTTAAAAACGAAGAAGTTACCATATGGTATGTAGTTGGTAAAAAAAAGTTTCTCGAAATATATTGAAATTTGATCTCATTTTGTAGACACAACGCACTCGTTCCCGTCTGTGCAAAAAAAAATTGAAATCCGAGTTAGAACGAAGAAGATAAGAGCCAATTAAGAAAACTAGGGAAAATAAAATGTCTTTAATTGACAACTCTTAGATCTGAATTTTCTGGACCCACTTAAATTTAAAGGTCCAAATTTAGTTGCTCATAGGTTAGTAACCATTGGTTACTTACCCTATCCAAAGTTCAGTGTCGGCCGGGCTAGGTAATAGTACAACTGTACAAGCTAGTGTTATACTGGGCTCAAACATAATTAAGTGACTGGGCCGTGGCGCGAGGGAAAAAAAAAACAAATCGGGCCGAACGTCTTGATTAGCGATAGGCTTTTCGCCCAATAGGAGTATAGTTGTGGGCTTGTGGCGTGTGGGAAAAAAAAAAAACAAATCTGGCCAAACAAAAAACGGATACGTTTTTGTTATTTTTGTTATATAATGACACTGGGTATGGTTTTAACTGTTTTGCAAAGGAAAGTCAACACTCAACACGTCATAATTCATTCAACATGCTCGAAGGTGCTACCCCGTTTGTTCTCGAGTTATTGGGATCAACTGGTTCATGACACTTAGTTCCATGATTCCATCCCAAATACTGCGGCGCCTTAGCATTTTACTACGAAAAAAAATGGGCATACTTTCTTTTCTCTAGAGGAAGATTTTGAGAAGAGAGGAAGAAGTGGCAGACAACCTGTTTGATTAGAAAAGAATGAGTCTAATATAGGAATGCATAACCGGAACTATACTAATAACAACTAACAACTATACAACTAGATAGAATGATCGTCAGTTTACAAGTTGTAACGATTTCTTAAGAGTCGTGTTGAATGTCAAACCAACCAAACAAGAGTCAAGACAACCATACAAGAGTCAAGACAAAAGTAGAATGTCAAGACAAAAGTAGAACCATACAAGAGTCAAGACAAAAGTAGAATGTCAAACCAACCAAACAGGATATATATAGGAGTCTTACTATATAAACTATAAAGTGGAAGTGCACTTACAAATGGATATATAATTAACAATCCGGTTAGAATCCATTCAGGATGAAGAACTAATGTGAGAATTTTCGTGCATTACAAAAAAACCAGTCAAAACTAAAAGATAAATGGAAGGAGGCAAAACCAAGAGTTGTTTTTTTTGTGTAAGGCGGCATGTAATTGAGTGGTTAAGTACCATACATAGAGCGCTCTCCAACAACTCGAGTTATTGAGACTTGGTCTAGCTAGCAGTGAGTCAAATACTTAAGTTATCCACGATCTTTCATCCCTTGATGTTTGCGCACATATTATGAATTCGCCTGTTGACAGCTTTCTCATCATTGTGAAGTTGATTACTTTGCTCGTAGAAGTGATCAGATGGTTACCATAGTAATTACCAAACCAATTAAACTTGAATTCTATTAACCATGAAATACAATATCACAACCAAATCGTTCAAACCAATACAACAATCAAATTAACCAAACTAATTTTTTTGTCGGTTTGGCTAATTAGGCGGCAGTATGTTGTTGTCTACAATCTTCACAAACAAATAAAGTGACATGAATAATGAGCTTTGTTTTATTTTATGGGTTCAAAAATGGAGAAATGTTTTGACTTTTTAGTAGGTATGAGTATATAATACATTAACTATATAGCTAGTTGGTTTGTTTGGTTAGCTATAACCAAACCACCTACACCCAAAAAAAAAAGCTAAAAAATTTAAACAAACCAAATCAAATTATCCAAATGAATCAAATTATCCGAATACTATTGATATAAATAATTACCACGATAAGTCGATAACCACACCGTTTGAAACTCCTGCCTGCTCTCAATCGATGCTAGATGCCAACGTTTGTTCTCTTCTTCCATTCAAATTGCAGGACAGTATGGGTCTGTCATCTCATCTCTCTCCCTACTCGTATTATCTTTTCATATACCTACAGACATAAATAGTTAAATATGGTCCCATCTTTTATTGCATGCATCGAGCATTATTTGCTTTCTGGCCCCCATCCTGCAAACTATATTTACTCGAAGCCCACCCTAACTTTTGTACTTGTGCTCATAATTTTCAATAAATTCACCACCACCACTTATTATCTATATCCATTTTTTCGTCCCTCGCCTTTCTTCACCATTGGGAAAAGCTCTGAAAATTCTCATAATAAGATGGGCAGGACGACGACGACTTCTTCTTCTTCTTCTTCATCCATCCTCGTCGTTGTTGCAGCATTATTATTCATCATCTTTAGCGACGGAAGCTGGACCGTCGTCGCGGAAAGTCCTCCCAACACGGACAAGGTTGCCTCTGGATGCGGCCCGTTGGTCGACCACCGGCCCGAAACGAGAGCCCAAGCGTTGAGGTCCATAAACCATGCGATTGAACAGGCCGCAACCGCGGCCCGCCGTAATACCTCGTGGACTAGTGGGCCGTCGTCAAAAGTCGTCGCCTTTGCTAATTGTTCCGTCGCGCTTACGGCGGCTGGTTGCAAAAAGTGTCTCAACGAGGCTCAGTTCAGGGTGATTAACGTCGAGTGCCCGTACGTGTTTGGAGGCTGGATCGAGCTTGTCGATTGTAACGTGCGGTACGACGTCGTGGTGATTACTTCGTTTTATACTCAAGCTCAGAGGTGGAGTTACTTGCTGTAAGTTGAGTTCAACCCTAACATTTTTTTTTTATATAAGGGTGACATCGCTTTATGTTGAAGATCAGCGGTAGAACCGCTAGATCGAGCTGTCTCTCGTTAGTTCCATGTAATAATGTGACTTATAGTCACGATAAGTGTCGATAATAATGTTCTTATTTAAAATTATTATAGTATATTTAATATAAGCTTTGGTAAAAAAGTAATAACATGATAGGCGCGCGGTTGGAACCCGCAAAGTGTAATGAAATAAACCGGTTCGATCCGGGTGTAATAATATTTTTTTTTATTTTAATATTTCGTTTGGTCTGCTATTACATGATTGTGGCGTTTTATTTGAACGATGACAACTATGAATACGTTGGAAAAAAATTTGGTACTATTGGGACATACAACTGCAACATCAGCAACTAACCTTGTGCAACTAGTTTTTTTTCTTGCTCTATGTCCATGGCATGAGTAGGAGAAGAACAAATGGAGATTGCTTTTCATGGGCTTGTCTTGAAACCTCGCTCCCGAAATGGGCCGCATTTTTCCAGTTCTTACGGCCTTCAGTCAAGTGGACCAGCAGCTATTTTGGGCCACTGAAACGAAAGCCCAGTTGGAAAAGGATGGGTAGGCGTACAGTCTGGGAAATTGGAAGGCCTGTCTTGGAAAGGTTAGGGGGGTAAGCCGGGGAAAGTTGGCCTTCCCCGTTTAACAAAGGCCCAACGAAGCTTCTCCTCCATTTATTCGAAGGCCCAAAGAAACTTAAAATTCGGCCCATCGACGAGATTTCATAAAAACTAGTAGACTAAAATAAAATGCGCAATGGGTTGCCAGCCTGCTGTGTCACTAGAAACTCGAGAACTGAATCAATCTGTACGGTAGTATTAGTTATCTATTTAATTATAGACATAAGACAGAAATCGAATATAAAGTTGTACTTAATGGCGTGTTTGATTAAGTTTTGGAAGTTATTGATGACAGATGTAATTAAGATGACAGTACTTGAGCAGAAAATATGCTAAGTACCTTCTGTACGTACAGCCCACGGTGCATGAGGAAAAGGTTACTTGTCCCCTAAGAAATCCATATAAATTGCTTAATTCTTTTTTTTTCATTTATAAGTTATAACATCTCATTTCCACCCACATTCATTGTTAGTCAAGCATAATTTTATTTTCCTGTATTGGTTTCTCGCTCTCTTGCAATCTTTATTTAGAGAAGTTCAGAGTTCGAAATTAATGAACTTATTTGTCTGCGTACTTAGCACTCATGTATCAAATTAAGGTATAACGAAATATGCAATTGACAAAGTAAAAAAGTAAAAAAATGTATATTTTCGTAGTTCATTCTCACGATGTGTATTAGATAGTATACAGGTAAGAGAAATCAATTTCACTATAATGATCATTATGCATATTTTGAAAGAATTCTATAGTAGATTTTATATAGACACCTTCAATACGTCTGTGACCCCTCAATCGTCGGAAAATCATATTTAAGTTATAGCAACAATTGATATTTCGTGGAAATGGAAGGGACCAAGTTGGTAACTTGAGATGTCAAATAATTAATTAGACAACCATGCATCCAACCTTAAACTAAATATTTAATTATTTTTAAATACCATTTGTATTTATCTATGATTTTTTGGGGTACTTCGTCCCATCTTGGTCCTTGGACCGGGGAACCCATACACATGGGCATCACTAATGCTTGGCAGAAAAATTATTTATTTAGAAATTAAGGTGAAATTACCACACAAAAAATATAATTAATTGATTTTTTTTTTGTTTAATTCACAAATCAAGAACTCAAACATATTAAAATGGATTAAAGGAAGGATGGTCACAAACTTCCTCATTGGGAAGAGATGATGAATTTTGAAGGATGGTCAACAAAACTCAGCACAAGACCACGTGCATACACACCAATTCATGGGGGGGAAATCCCCTATAAAAATATGCAAAATACTAATTGAATTTTATTATGCAATTTAAGAAAAGAAGAGAAAGACAAAAAGGAAATTTTTGTGGCATTTGATTTTTATATTTTTCACTCTAGTGGTATTACCACTAGATCAAGTCGTAGTTTTATTGAAACTTATTTGATCATTAATATGGGTTAGCATGCTCTTTTGCACTTTATTTCTTACCCATAAATTAAATAAATCAATAATTAGTTAACAAATCATCCGCAATAACCATGATAAAATTTGAACAAATGATTTTTTATTATTTAAAATGAATGCAATTAATATGGGGTACCACATATATCCACAGTATTGTTTCCTTTATGTTTCTTTCTCTTTTTATCCATGGAGTATACGAATGTACCTTTTGTAGTTATGATGAGATTGGGACTTGGTAGTGGAGATGGATGGTCCAAACTTGAATGAACCAGACCATGGAACAATTTAAGGGAAACAAAAGAAAGATGTCAAGCTATACTATACATATTTGATGGCATACAAATTCAAACTTTCACATCCATGCTCACACTTTGAGTAATTAGCCAATAGAGATTGTGCGTAGTCTGAATCTAAATGTAAACCTATATGCGTGTCATCGATGATCCCTCTACGAGCTAAATAGTCGATCAGAAAGTTGTCATGATCTGTATCGATGTGAGAAGTCCCAATTATCAGGTCTCGTAGAAGGAGACTACTGTATTGAGTAGTTAGTCAATAGAGAACGTTCGGATCGTACTCCGTAACTAAATATGAAACATATATATATGTATATCGATGACCCTTTACGAGCCAAAACAATCGATCAAAATATTGTTCTCTGTATTAAAGTGAAAAAGGGAGTAATTAATGATGTCGTATTAGTACGGTTAACACTGTTGTCTATAGGAGTTAAGTACAAGAGTAGAGGTAGGAAAGAAGACACTAATTTTTGCTAGGGCATGGCCCCATGTCCACATGTTGGCCCTTTGGTGTTTGTGTTCATCTTGCGATTCATTTTCTGCCACACCTACATGAATTCGTATACTATTGTGTTTTCTTGTCATTGCCACTATGCATTCATGTTAGTTGGAGATTAATAGCAAAGCTAACTATAGGGTTTTGTGGTAAAATTCGCTTCTCATCATTCGCCTCTGTCTTGGTTGTGAGGATTGTAAAGTCGTACTGGTGGATGTATCGGAAAAGTCTATGTATTGAAATCGTGATTTGATGTTTCATATCGTTAAAATCTCATAGCGGCTTGGACTCCAATGGACAGTTCCCCGATTGGACCGCTGATACGATTTGGTTTTGTAAACACTGCTTGATTGTACAAAACAAGAAGATGAAACGATAGGGGATTGATCATGATCCACTAATTTCTTGGCAATCCTTGGCATTTGAACTATTCCAAATGAATCTAAACTCTTTTTCTCCGACTTTCATTCGATATCCCTTCAGATCAAAATGTTAGGTTCGAGTCCTCATAGACTCTCTCAGCTATGAGCAACAGTCCAACGTTTAGCGCCTGATCCAACGATGCACTCAACTCAGTAAACACATTCTCACAAAAGAGTTGTAAGCACCATAATCGAGTTGATCTAATTGTACCAAGGAAGGACCAGGATGGAATGAGAACAGATAAATGAAAGCAGCCAGTTAGCTAAGCCAAACCAGCCTTGTATCCATCCTTAAGACCATGATTGCAAATACAAAATAAGAAGCTTTCCCCCACTTAGTCACCATCAAAACTGAGGTCACTCATGCTCATGGGTTCATGGCAGTCAGTTAGATCCCTTTTTTTCCTCCCAATGATTCTTCCCCTACAACATATAATCCTGAATCCCACAACCACCACCTCAAAATCAGTTCTTTCACATAGAATCAGCTCATAAACCATACATCATTTGTGTTTTCTTTCTTTCTTTTTTTCCTCCAAAAAGTGATTCGTAAACGAAAGAACATATTACACGCCAAAATTAATTCGAAAGTTTTGAGGATTCATAGAACAATGACATGAACTCATTTAGAGGTTTTCGCAAGGGATCAGTGAAGATATTTGCATTCATACAAAATTTCGTGCTTAAACATAGATACGATCAGACCTAGATTATGCATTCAACATGATATATCACACTTGATTTTTGCGTTCAATAGAATTACATGATAGACCAATTACTACAATAAGACCGTAACATGCAATAATATTTACAAAATTATCACCGTGTGCCCTCCTCTCACAAGCAGAGTGGCAATGACATTAAAATGACAAATGATTGATGATGAACAAAGAGAAAGTGAAGGAAGTCACCATGAGATTTTCTTAAAGCTGGAAAACTGTGTATTTACAACATTTATCACAAGAGAGATTTGGCAGAAGAGACCAAAAGGAGGCAAACAATGAGAGGGAGAAAAGAGAGATTTTTAGACTGTTCCAAGCTCCTCTCAGCTACTAAACATTGATATACACATACACATTAAAATGGTTGATCAAGAACAAAAAAGATTACACCTTCTCCCCCCTTTCTTCTTCTTCTTCTTCCCACTTTTCTTCTTTCATCTCCAAAAGAATCCGCCTGGAAAATTGATTTCAAGAGACAGAGAAGAAGAAGAGAAAGACTCTCTCTGTCTCTCTCTCTCTCACGAACTCTTTTTCATTATTCCTGCAACTGCTTCCCTACTACTTCAGGCGCTTCCTTTATCTCCACCATATCACCAAACCCACCACTAACCACAACATCATCGTCCTCCCCGGCCACGATGCTCGACTGCGAACCCGCCTGGATTTCCTTGAACATCGCCATCACCTGGATCATCGTCGGCCTCCTCCAATGCCGGTCGTCGAGGCAAGCACACGCCACTTTTAGATGCTGCAGCAGCTCGATCTCGACGCTCGGATCCTCCTTCATCAACAAGGGATCGAACACGTCGCTTATCTTCAACTTGGCATGCTGCTTCACCCACCCGACCAAGTTGTTGTCCCCGAAATCAGCTGAATCCGTCGGTCTCCTGCCCGTCAGCAGCTCGAGCAACACGACACCGTAACTGTACACGTCGCCCTTTACCGAACACCGGAAGCTCTGGTAGTACTCGGGAGGGACGTATCCCGGTGTCCCCGCCAGCGTGCTCACGCTGAGATGAGTGTCCATGGCGGACATCAACCTCGCCATACCGAAATCAGACACCCGTGCGTCCAGATTCTCGTCGAGCAGCACGTTGCTCGACTTCATGTCTCTGTGAATGATGTGTGGGATGCAGTTGTGGTGGAGAAATGCGAGGCCTCTCGCTGCACCGATGGCGATCTTTCTCCTCGCGTTCCAATCGAGCTTTATCCCGGCTTTCCTCTGGTCGTGAAGAACATCTTCCAAGCTTCCATACTTCATGTACTCATAGACCAGCAGCCTCTCTTCCCCTACCTTGCAGTA